CGATAAAACGAGCATCTTCCATCCGAAGACTTGTGTTGCATTTCGGGGCAAAGCAAAATAAACATTGTCAAACAACAATATAAAATGCGGTAAACTATTAATTGGTTATTCTACTTAATTGTATTATAAATGATACTACAATTGGAATATGCTGTAAATGAACTGTTCGGCGTGATGGCGTTTAATGTCTCCGACAGCGTCTGTAGTCCCATTTAGCAACTTGATAGCAACCGTATTTTTTAAGAAACGTAACAGTTTTTAAAAATCACGAGTGGGGTGTAACTGATGTGTTTTATGTTGTAGAATAAACCGTGAAAGTATCTTGAGCTTGTGTGAACCACGGACCTTATTTTAGGGGATTTAACCAAACTCCCATTCAAAAAACCCATTGACTCTGGGACGATGGAACCGGAAGTGCTAAAATGCTAACTCGCTTCCGGGGTTTTGCCTACAAAGTCGCATCATAGTTCCACCACTCTATATCACAATTTGATTAAGTGCACAGCCCTTCTTTTGATTTATTCATTCAAATTTTGCCAAATTATCTGACAGTCTGGTGTTATACAATGAATTCCATATTTATAACTGGGTTCTGCAATTCTGACAGGGTTTTACGCATTGTGGAAATCATAGGGCATTCTTTCAGTGTATTCTTTCAGTGGTGTTTGAGTTCGTCAACTCTGATATATTTTTCCACAGAGAACTGAAGGACAGCCTTGGCAGTGATGAGTTGGAGGGAGATGTACCAGTGCTGCTGCAGCTTTTGCTGTCTAGGAACCCCAACATCTTCAGGAATAAGACCGCACCGAGCACTCCCCAGTATCCGGCCCAGGCGGGTAAGAGTCAATCCAAGCACATAGGGAAACTTCTACTACTACAAGCTTGACAGATTGCACTTGTAACAATGCTTACTTTTGGGTTGCTAGTTTGCTGTCAGGTTACTTTCACCCAAGCAGGTAAAAGTCTGCCTGAAGAATGTTTAGTTATCTTTGCGGCTTTTGTCCTTCTGATAAGACAGACTTTGCCTCCCTTTCCTCTCCCTAGAACATGGTGATTTTCCCATCAGAACTACAGAAAGAGGCATTGTTTTTCTCTGACCTTCAGTTATTAAAAAAAAAAAAAAACATTTGTGAAACAACAGAGAAGAAAGAAACAAAACCAAGTGAATTATTTCTCCATAATGTGTATGTTAAGGATAAATAATTAATTTGATTTTGTTTCCTATGTATGCCAAAACAATCAGTATATAAAATCAAGGAACTTTGTTAATATAAAACGCATATAAACGGATATATTTTCCACATGTAATATTGTTGCCACTGCACCATTCATCAGCAAAAGTCTGCATTACATTGACATTATCGCAAAACAATCCAAGCTGATTTGTGCCAGAACACGTGTAGTGTGAATTAAGAGTTTGCATAGCATATCTAACTCGTCTATTTAAAAAACTAAACAAAAAAAGGTTTAGTGCCTAAAAATAAATAGAAAGCTTTGTCAACTTTTGGACAACATACTTTAACATGTGGTAATGGAAATGGCACAGAAAAATGCATGAAAGAATCATTAAAAAAAGATTAGATATAACACTTTTTTCATATAATATAACTTGTATAAATATTCAATATCTATTTAATAAATATTTATTGTTTTAAGTTCTGTGATTTCATTGCAATGACTAAATGCATGAATTATTTCATTCTTTGCTACTTTCCTATATAGCAGCAAAGATTTAGTAATGGTTTGACCTGGCTCATTGGAACCTTGCCAGTCTTTAAACTTTCAGTAACCATCTCAAGTGATGTTATGTTGTTATAGTAGCTTTTCTGCCTGTTGTTTCTCGTCCAGACTATTTTTCACACTCTTGTATTTCACAGGTATAAGTCAGCAGTCAATGGCACCGCCGTATAAAATCACACATGGCTCCATGCAGGGAAGTCCAGCCTCTGCCAATTACCAGGCCTCTATGTCCCACAGCCCCTCTGGGTGAGCCTGCTTTCTAATTCAGTTTTTATGTGGAGTAACTTGTGATACTATTTGTGACACGTTCAGTTTGTTTTCATTGTACGAAGCTAACCAACAACTGCTGTTATTAACAATTTAAAGCCATCATGCAGTATATTTTATAATACCGTGTATGATTTAAAGGGTTAGTTCACCCAAAAATGAAAATTAGACTTATGTTTTACTTACCCTCGAAGCATCCTAGTTGTATATGACTTTCTTGTTTCAGACGAATCCAGTCGGAGTTATATTAAAAATTGTCCTGGCTATTCCAAGCTCTATCATTGCAGTCTGCAGGTGTTGCAGTTGAACAGTCCACAAGTCGTCAAATAAAGAACGCGTATTCATAATAAAACGTGCCTCACACGGCTCCGGGGGGTGAATAAAGGCCTCCAGTAGTGAATGCATGTGTTTTTGTAAGAAACATATCCATATTGGCACCGGGATTCGGTACCCAACCCTAGCCGACATACTATGTCATCCACTGGAACGGCTTCCGCGTATGACAGAAACCGGAAGTGAGAGAAAAGTGTTTATTACATTTGAAATATGGATATTTTTCTTACAAAAACATATGTATTCGCTACAGGAGGCCTTTATTCACCCCCCCGGAGCCGTGTGCGGCACGTTTTATTATGGATGCGTGCGCTTTATTTGACTACTTTTGGACTGTTCAACTGCAACACCCGCTGACTGCAATGATAGAGCTTGGAATAGCCAGGACAATTTTTAATATAACTCCGACTGGATTCGTCTAAAACAAGAAAGTCATATACACCTAGGATGCCTCGAGGGTGAGTAAAACACAGGCTAATTTTCATTTTCGGGTGAACTAACCCTTTAATATGAATTTGATTTGGTATTAACCCATTAATGCTGTGCTAAGGAAAAACAGATATAAATGTCATGATTAATCATAAAAACCTAAGATTTTGTTGTTGCATAGTGCGATTATCAAATTGCAAAGGCTACGATTGAATTAAATAAAAGCGTTGCATGTTTCCGAGTGAAGTGAGGCATTGTACACTTTTACACGTGAGCAGCTCACAATCTGGTGTTTTCAGTACCGTAGTGAGGCTCATTTCACAGTAAATACTTCTCTACACATCTGCTCTGAGTTTGGATCTCTTATAACACGCATTTGGAAACACAACTTGCACCAACCATCTTTCCAGGCTTGTAAAGAGAAACCTGAAGGGCTCTGTGTAGCTTTCAGATAAAATAACAGCTTGTTGGTGTAACGTTTTACATTTAAATATTACAATAGTAACATTTCTTATTTTGTTTAATTTTATTTAGTAATAACTTTATTATAAATAACTGGAATTGTTTTAGAATTTATAATAATTATGATTAGTGATATTTATTATGAGTATTAGATTTTAGACAAAATTACACTTTAATTTGCAATTACAATTTATGTATTTCATATATTTATATAACACTTTATGCATTAAATCGATTAATCAATGATCACAATAATCATTTGTTGCAGCCCTACTAACCAAGGCTGCTTTTATTTAATCAAAAATACAGTGCGATTTAAAATAACTGTTTTCTATGTTTGAATTTAAAATGTTGTTTATTCCTTAAAAAATTATAAAAATAATTGTTAAATAATTTGATGTTCCTTTTTTTTTTTTTTACAAATCAGTATTGGCAAGTAGATTTAGTAAAAACTCTCTGCTGACCATGTCCCTTCCTGTTCCTTATGATAGGCGTTTTGTGCCAGGGCAGTCTGGTTCTGGTGGACGGTTTCTGCCTCAGCAGAGCAGCCCAGTGCCCAGCCCTTATGCCCCTCAGAGCCCTGCTACCGGCTACAGACAGTACCCACACCCTCCAGCCTACAGTCAACACCAGCACCTACAGCAAGGTCTGCACAAAGATGCACACATAGGCAGATCTATAGAGAATCTCTTCCATTGATCGAGACCTTTGTCTGTTTTCTGGCGTATTTAAACTGTGTGTTTTTTCCAGGTTCAGTAGCAAGCCCAATGATTCCAGGAGGCATGAGAAATGTTCACGAGAATAAGGTATTTAAAAGTTTGTTCTACATTAATAGTCGACCAACAGTCGCCAGTTTGACTGATGTGTCAGAATATTGGGACTTTTATTTTGACAACGCTGAGAATGCCAGCACGTGTGTGCATGGAGCTCCCATTCTGTTAAAGGGGGTCATATGATGCGATTTCAAGTTTTCCTTTCTCTTTGGAGTGTTACAAGCTGATTGTGCATAGATAAGATCCCTGAAGTTGCAAAGACTAAAGTCTCAAAACCAAAGAGATATTCTTTATTAGGGCTGGGTATCGATTCAGATGTTTCGATTCGATTTCGATTTTCAAGCTCTCAATTCGATTCGATTTCGACTTTCTATTCGATTTCGATTTTCTATTTGATATTCGATTTGATTTTTGATTTCAATTCTCGATTCGATTTGACTTTAAAAAAGCATCATATGACCCCTTTAAACAAAGTAAATGGAATACATAAATATAATGTTTAAAAATGGAAATAAATATATATTTCATTTTAGCAGGTGCTATGCATTTTTACTGTAATATATTAGCTTCATATTGCAGATTTATTTGGAAAGAAAAAAACAGATTTCCATGGCACTGTTGGTTATAATTCTATAATAGGATTACAGAATCACGAATTTGCCATCAAATCTGTTTATAATTTTCAATTTTAAGTTTAGGATGTTTTTCCAATATTCATTTTCAAATGATTTCTAATTTCGTCATTGCAATGTGATGTAAAATAAATATACATTTAATTTCAACATTTTACTCTGTAACATTATGCAGTTTTAATTTATGTGCTGTCTATTGCTGATGATCGCATTATTTTTCATAGGCATCTGTTTACATAAGAGATCGCTAGTTTCTCCGTCCTGTTTATGTGTGTTTTTGTTCGGGAGGTTTTGTACTAGTTCAGAAGATGTGAAATAGTGCCCCCGAGTGTATAACAGTGAAAACACGGAAAGCCGTAAAAACTCGTCTTTGGCAGGGAAGCATTTTCTTGTAAAAGATGAGATAACTCGTCAATGGCGGGCAAAGAGTTAAGAAGCTGTTCTGATTGTGTATTTCTCTGAAAACCATTAGGATCAGATGAGGGCAGGTTTCACGTCTCACATACTGCAGTCATCTCCACCTTACACTCCTCCTTGCGATGGGGCTCAAGAAATGCATCTGGGCTCCCCAGACAAGCAGCGTGGTCTGAACCCTAACGAGGGAGAGCGGGACCCGGCCGATAAGGCTGCTGTGTATGATATTGTGGGCTCGCCAATAAAAGACCCTACTAAGCTGATCCTGAGGCAGTCACGGGCCAGGCCAACAGAGGTGGAGCTTGGGGGAATGTACCCCGGTTCAGACCCAGAAGGAGAGCTTGTTGAGGCTCTTGCTGCAATAGAAAGGATGGAAAGTGAAGCGGCCATGGAGACGGACCGTGGTGCTAAAGAGGTGCAGGATAAAGGTATGATGCAGGATGTCAGTAAACACATTGTCTCCAAAACGGATATGTGCACTGATATAGAAACTTGCCTGATAAATATAGCATACATACATGATACATGCAGATTATTATTTTTATGTTATGGAATATAGTTATTTATAAGACTTTGCGCTACGGGAGTCCCGAGTTCGAAAACCCAGCTTGAGGACCTTTCCCAATCCCGCCCTCCTCTTTCTCTCTCCCACTTTGCCTCCTCTAAACTGTCCTCTAAAAATAAAGGCAAAAATGCCAAAAATTAATCTAAATGGTAGTTATATATCCAAATCATATTTCAATGCATAAGCAAAAGAAAGAAGAAATTGTGTTTTTTGAAAAGAAAATGAAGCCTGTTATGCCTTAATGACCTACGTTTTGACATTATCTTCTTTAATAAGAACCCTCCCTCAATTTTCATGATAAAAATTATGAATCTGATCTCTTTCTCTCTGTAGATAAGCCTTTGAAGAAGCGCAAACAGGACTCTCACCCGCAGGAGCCTGGTGCAGCTGGCACAGCTGGTTCAGGCTCTGGGGCTCCAGGTGGAGGAGGAGGGGCTAACGCAGGGCACAGGCTCGCCCCTCAGGAGGCCAGCGCCGCCAGCACCAGTGCCAGCGCCAGCCGCCCAGGCCTGCAAGTGAGCTTGGAGCAAGCGGGCAGAGTGGAGGACACCTGCATGGGCATGCCCATCCCTGCCAGCGAGGCTCAGCGCTGGCCTCAGGAGCCGCAGGAAGGGGTCACTCCGAAGGCCCTCAAACACAAGCACGACCACGCTCCAGAACACCGACATCAGCCCGATACCCCGCGGCAGAAGCACAGACCCGAGGGGCGGCACGGTGATGTCGGCACGCAGTGTGCGGCTCAGTCGGGGAGTAAACCAGCAGAGCTTCCTCCGTACATGCTGGGAGAAAACACCAGTTCGGGAGTGCTTAAAAACTTCACCATTCCCAAAATCAGGAAAGATCTCGGAGCAGGAGATATTCCAGAAGGCTGGAAGCAGCCGTGTGTGCGGCTGGAGAGACTGGAACCAGAGGTGGACGTGAAGAAGACTGTCAAGCCTGTGGTTGTTCTGCAGAAACTCTCCATCGATGAGGTGCAGAGGCTCATGAGGGAGAGAGACTCGCGTGGCTCCAAGTCTGGCAAGAACAGGCTCTCCTCTGGGAGATCTGGGAAAGGTAGGGGAACTCCTTTTATCTTTACTCTTTCCAGTTTGAATAACTGTTTCCCGCTCTGAGAACAGGTTTTTACTTTCGAATTGAATGAACAGCCAGGCAGGGAGATGTATTACTTGGCTGCTTGTAAAAGGGTAGTTATGCGAAATGTGTCTTGACTTTTCCAGCTGGTAAGAGCTGAACTGTTACCAGGTTTTTTTTATGTTTGTTTGAAATGGCTCTTATAAGGGGTTGTCATACGTTTTGAAATAGTGTCTCATTTGTATTGCTAGATTTGTTGTGTGATGGTTTAGAATTATAGAATACAAAATAATTGTACAGTAATAATTGTACTGTTAATTAAATGGTTGTATTTATTTATGTCTTATAAACGTAATATTAATTGCTGGTGTGTTATTGATTGACGGTTTTTTTTAAACAGTTGTTGATACAATTGTCATGATCAGTTTTATATTAGTATTATTTAGTATTACAGTATTTATTAATATTTTGAATTGAACTTCTGTTTTATAATTCTGCTTTGCATTTAAATTTTTCTATTTTGTTTTAGTAATTTTATGTGCTTTTTAGGGCTGCCACTAACGACTATTTTTATTTCGATTAAACTATCGACTAATTACTCGATTAATCTAAACGATTAATTTCTCACACAAAAAATCAACAATTTTACTTAAGAATATTTTATTAAACTATATTTCATTAAACCAAATGAAATCCAAAAGTAAAGTGCAACATAAAGTGCAAGAAGCAAGTGTCCATCTCATAGTCCAAATCACTGAAATCAAAGTTCAGTATAATAGTGTAAGAATGACTTAATATTAATAAAATCAATTAATTGGAGATGCTTTTAATTATTAAAATTTAATGGAACTATTAAAATAGAATCCAGAAAATAATGGAAAACAGAATTTAGTAAAGATAAAACTGTAAAACTCAATTAATTAGACAGGCTTTTTGATTAATACAATTTAATTGAACCATTAAAACGTATAACTGCATATCATATAATTGTTTAATTAAATCGTAGTGTTTGTGAATTCACAATTATGCTTAATTATGATTTTTAAATGGGTTTAATATATCATGCAGCCTTGGAAAACAGACTAATAATGTGTTTTATACATTCTCGTCCGTGAAATGCGCCACTTCCAGTATTTTGCCGGTTAGTCGACGCGAGCAAAATGAAGTCGAGGATTTTTAAAAATCGAATAGTCAAATAAAATCGAGTAATCGCGACAGCCCTAGCGCTTTTGTCGTTTTTATTAGCTTTTGGTGTTTTTGCAAATATTTCTATATAATTTTCTTTTTTTAATTCCGTTATTTTAGTCGTTTAACTTCCACTTATTTTATTTCAGTTAGATGCCAAGGTATCATTTCTAACTTTTGTGTACATTTAAAAAATTTTTTTCCAATATTTGTATTTTATTTCAGATTTTTCAGATAGTCTAAGCATTGTTTTTTTAAGTTTGTTTATAAAAAACGGCAACGGTCACTCACGATATCACACTATAATGCCAAACCAATTTTCCACAGTAAAATTTAACATGCTTTTGAACATACTCATTTATTCAACATCTCTCTATTAAGATTTTTTTATTTATTCCTGAAAAACTGTGTATGTTTTCAGGTGTCTGACAGCAATATCAGTTAAGTAAATATTGAATAATTGAAAGAATGCAAGAGTAGTTAAATGTAAAAAAAATATGATTTTATTCCGTAACAAAAACAAACAAACATCTAAATTAAAAAAGGAAAACATTCACACGTACTTGAGGCTATTGTCACCTGCAACAAACTTATGGCCCTTTAAATTTGTTCATTTTTATTTTAGTATAAAACTATCAAGATTCGCAGACCAACTTAACAAAAACAGTCTTTCTGTTCTTCTTGGATAATACTGTAATTATTGTAATAGGCACGCTCAATATTTTTGACATTGGTGTCTGATTATTAAAGTATAAATGTATGAAATGTTGCATGTTGCCGCTACATAAATTGGGTTTTAATTTGGGTTTTGGGTTATTACTTCTAGTATTCTGAAGTATCGGTACTTTTGACATTCCTAGTGGTCAGTTTATTTAAGCTTGTTAAAACCATTGAGAGATGTTGTTTGTCTAGTCCCAATTACAGTTGATATAAAGGAGAGGATTTCAAACCTTGTGTGTGCTGTAGGCAATGCAAGTTGAACGTAAGTCTCTGTGCACAGGTGGAATAGACCCGTCAGTGCTGAAGGATCTTCCTCCTGAGCTGCTGGCAGAGATCGAGTCCACCATGCCTCTGTGTGAGCGGGTAAAGATGAACAAACGCAAACGCAGCACTGTCAATGAGAGGCCTAAATATGCAGAGGACAGCTCAGAGGACGAGGATTTCTGTGAGTAGCATCACTGTAATGATAACGGTCTGCTTCCACACAAAGAGGAACACCAAATCTGTCAATCAAATGCAATATTAATCGGGTTTTTCATTATGTATCCTAACCTAACTGGACATTGTCTTAACTAAGTTCACAAGGTGCATCCTGGGATGCTTTTTAAACAGTAGTAATTTAGTAAAATGTACATGCTGGACACTTGTTGACTGATTTCCCTTAAAGGGTCATGAAACCCCAGACTACTTTTTCTGAGATTTTAGCAGAGGTGTTTTTGTTGCACATATATATATGTTTTCGATGCAGAGTGCAAATGGCTGTGGATTTATTTGTGATTTTAACTCGATGGGAATGAAATGAAACTGTCAGAACTGTGTGTGTGTTGTCTGTCTCCCCTCTTCCCCCTCCTCCGCTCCGCTGCGCACCACACCCACTTTTTTTACATTTTTTAAAACTGTGGTGAGAACTAACCAGTGCTGCACCCACTTTTTTTAGCATTTTTTTAAAACTGTGGTGAGAACTAACCAGTGCTGAAACCGGGGGTTTCATGACCCTTTAACGATCAACTCCAATACATCCATTAAAAAAAACAAATAATAGAACAAGTAAAAATTTTAACCAAACTGATGCCCCCTTGCCCTGAGTTTTCACTCATAAATTGCTAGTAAATTTCACAAGTAATTACAAAGAAACTGCAAGTAACCTTGAATTAAATGTGAAATTGATGTAGAAAAGCTGAAACGGTATTTTCAAAATGTTCCTCAAAAATTCTTGTTTTATTTACTTAACTTTATTTACATTTATGGTCTCTGTTTTCTGCCCCAGCATCTCGTAAACGTCAGAAGAAGGATCGTGACAGAATGTGGGAGTTTGAGGAGCGCGACCGGAGGAATTCAGGAGAGCATCGAAGAGGAAGCTACGACACACGCAGAGGCTCAGGCAGCCGATATGACGACTCTGACCAAGATTCACCTCCCCCCAGCCTTAGTGACGGTTAGAATGAAAATTCTGTCATCATTTACTCACTCTCATGTCATTGCAAACCCGTAAGACTTTCTGTCCCTCCATTAAAAGTCCAGGTAACCAAAACGTAAAAGATCCGAAAAGGTCTGTAAATGATGTAATGTTTACATAATTTTCCTTTTTGGGTGAACTATCCCTTTGAGCATTTAATTATGAAATCAAAGATCTGCTCCAAAACTTAGAGTAGCTATAGTGTCATCATATTTGAGATTAGTTTGAAATTTGTTTAAATGGTTTATTAGTGGTTGAGTTAGAGTTTGTTTTTTTCTTTCAGTTGCAAGACGTTTAAAGATGAAGGAGAAGCAGAAGAGGAGGAAAGCGTATGAGCCCAAGTTAACGCCTGAAGGTAAACCCTTTCACCTCTTTCTCAACCATCTCACCTTTGTAGCATTTCCATCAGAATGATGCTCATTAAATACTCCCCTGTATTTTTCTACTTTTTTTCCGCAGAAATGATGGACTCTTCCACTTTTAAGAGGTTCTCGTTGAGTATTGACAACATCTTGGAGAATCTTGAGGATGTGGACTTTAATGGTCAGGGTCGGGCAATATATCCCCTTTTTTGTAGATCTTACCACCCTGTATGATATTTGCTCAGTTAAATCCAATAATTGTTTATTATTAATTTTAGGGTGCTGTTTCCAAAAATAGTGTCTGTTTTGCTCTAACGCATCACACTTTCTCACAAATTATGATTTGAATATGAATATGATATTCTTTAATCAGCATTTTTCTTTAATCAGCAATTTTTGCAAAATAGTAGATATTAGTAGTATTTCAGAATTTTTTATTTTTTTTGGCAGATGCAGGACTTTACATACCATCTCTTTCAGTTTTTGACTATTCTGTGTTGACACATTTGTTTGTTCTTAGATGATGATGAGATCCCTCAGGAGCTGTTGTTAGGGAAACAGCAGCTAAATGAATTGGGTAGTGAATCTGCTAAGATAAAAGCCATGGGCATCACCTGCAGGGTAAGAGATACATTATTGTATACTACTCCTTTTATGCAATTGTTAAAAGCCCCATGAAATCTATATAATAGTACATCTATAAAGAGCATCTGTATGATGAAAAAGTTTAAGTGCACGTTAGTTGCGTTACAGACACAATTATTGATTTAAAAAAAAATTTTTTTTGAAAGAAGTCTCTTATGCTTACCAAGGTTGCATTTATTTGATCAAAAATACAGTAAAAACAGTAATATTGTGGGAAATTATTACAATTTAAAATAACTGTTTTCTATTTGAATATTTTACAATGTAATTTATTCCTGTGATGCAAAGTTGAATTTTCAGCATCATTACTCCAGTCTTCAGTGTCACATGATCCTTTAGAAATCATTCTAATATGCTGATTTGCTGCTCAAGAATCATTTCTTATTAGTATCATTGTTGGAAACAGTTGCTACTTAATATTTTGGTGGAATATTTTTTTCAGGATTCTTTGAACAGTTCAAAAGTACAACATTCATTTGAAATAGAAATCTTTTGTAATATTATAAATATTATAAATATTATATTATAAATAGTCTGTATAGAGTACATTTATATAGTGCACAGAAATCTCAGAGAGCAAAAAAAAAAATCCTGTTTTTTGTAACATCCACTCTGGCTATATACCTCATTCTGTTGTTTTTTTTCCTCTAATGCCCAGATTCCTTCTGATAAACTGGTGAAACTGTTGAATATTCTGGAGAAGAACATTCTGGATGGATCCGGTCTTTCTACACATATGAACCATGTAAAATCACTTAATCATGTTGGTTTTTCGAGTGACACTTTCACACTTCAAATGATGCCTTTACTTGTAGTTCAGTGCTTTCCCTCAGTCTTCTCTCTCTGGTCTTCATCAGGATAACGATGGAGAGGACGAGGAGCGTCTCTGGCGGGATCTCATCATGGAGCGTGTGACCAAATCAGGGGATGCGTGTCTGACAGCACTGAACATCATGACATCATCACACATGCCCAAAGCCGTGTACATTGAAGACGTGATCGAGAGAGTTCTGCAGTACACTAAGTTCCACCTGCAGAATACTCTTTACCCACAGTATGATCCGGTCTACAGAATTGACCCTAAAGGAGGTGAGACGCTTCACTTCTGCTGAAGGGCCGTTCACACCAAGTCTGATTTATTTAAATGATACAAAATCATAAAATATTTTGCTCTAAAATGATTCACTATATTTAATGTCTAAATGAATTGTTTGACAATTTTAAGAAAAAAAAGGATGTACCCTACAAGTAAAAAATAAAATTATTTTGAATAAATTTTTTGACATCACAAATAAAAATGGGAAAAAAAAAATTACTGCCATTTTTTGGCCTTTTTTGAAAATCACTTCATTTCTGCTGAAGGCCTGTTCACACCAAGTCTGATGTGTCTAAATGGTACAAAACCATAAAATATTCAAAAAAAAAGGTTTTGCTTTAGAACTTTTCACTGAATTTAAAGCCTGAATGATTTTTTAGACAAATGTATGACGAAAAAAGATGTACCCTTCAAGTAAGAAAAAAAAGTCATAAGGAAAACAAGTATGTTGCATTAATTGTCTGACATCTTGATAAAGAATAATCACAAATAAAAGTGCAGTATTTTGGTTATTCTGACAGAGTTCGTAGAAATGTATTTATATTTAAAAACTTGAGCAATTTTAAATGTTTTTATAGATGATTAAAATTACATATTTTATAAATGAACTAAATTTGGTATTATTATAATTAATAATGATAATAATAATTTTCTTTTTTTGACAAATTTTACGTTGGTGTTTACTTCCAGTGTTGTAAATTACCAGTACATTAAATAACATTAAATGTCAAACTTTGTAAATGAACTACTTCCTAACATGATGTGGTATGAACCATGTGTGGTTTCAGGTTCCATGCTGAGCTCCAAAGCAAAGCGAGCCAAGTGCTCCACCGCCAAGCAGAGAGTCATCATCATGCTCTATAACAAAGTGTGTGACGTCGTCAGCAACATCTCAGAGCTGCTGGAAATTCAGCTGTTGACCGATACAACAATATTGCAGGTAGGAACTGATCGATGCAGCGTATTTTTGTATGCTCCTATAGTTTATTTGCATTTATTGTATGTTGTATCGCGCTGTGTTTTTGTTCTTCTGCAGGTCTCTTCGATGGGCATTACTCCTTTCTTTGTGGAGAATGTCAGTGAGCTGCAGCTGTGTGCCATAAAGCTGGTGACGGCGGTATGTTTTCTTAGATTAGCTGCACAACCTTGTGCTTTTGGTTTATCATGCATTGAAAGCATCTTTCAACATTGTTAAAATTACATCTCACCAGTCATTAAACTATTTTGCATGATTTCATAAAAAATTACTAAGAGATTTATAATTATAAAATATTTAATCCTATAAATATAATCAAATTATTTTCAAAATTCAATAACAAAACTATTTAGCCATTTTCACCCTTCCTTCTGTCAGGAATGTCTCTCTTTTTTCTTTTATTTATTATTTTATACCAAAATGAGTTAAAATAATTACAAAATGTAATTAATTATGAAATAAATTATTATAATGCTCTTAATATAATCAAATTATTAATTTATAAAATTACATTATAACAGCAAAATTAATTTAGCTGTTTTTTCCAAAATTACCCATTCTGATCCTTAAATTGTCCTTAAATACTTATTTTGGCTTAAAATCTGGAATTCGGCTTTTGTTTTCTTCTCTTGCGACCAAAGAAAATCGATCTTTTTTTTTTATGAATTAAACTGTCAAAACATGACACTAATGGAGGCATTTCACTTCTCTCTTTGTCTCAGGTGTTCTCTCGTTACGAGAAGCACAGACAGTTAATTCTAGAGGAGATCTTCACCTCTTTGGCCAGACTGCCCACCAGCAAACGCAGCCTCAGGAACTTCAGGTATTGATATGACTGCCTAAATTCAGATGGCAGTTCTGCCTAAACTATTGACTGTGAACTATTGATAAACACAAGTGTTTCCTGCATGTCGAATCTGTCTGTGTGTTTAGGTTGAACAGTAGCGATGCCGAGGGTGAGCCCATATTCATTCAGATGGTTAGTGCTCTGGTGCTGCAACTAATTCAGTGCGTGGTCCATCTGCCCTCTGAGAAAGACTCTGAAGACGATCACAAAAAGGTACTAGATACTCACCCAACACCACTTGAGATAGTCTCACATTTGTACTATCGCTGTGAAGTCTGTTGTTGATTGCAGGCTATATTAACAATGTGGATTAAACCGTTTTTCAGGTTGACGACGATGTGTTCATCACCAACTCGTATGAAACGGCCAGACGGACGGCTCAGAACTTCCTCTCTGTCTTCCTCAAGAAGTCAGAACACCCCTCCTGTTTTCCTTTTTTTTCTTTATAAAGTATGTGTGTGTGTGTAGTACTCAGTGTGTGTATTCTGTATTGTAACTACGTCTCAGGTGTGGCAGTAAACAGGGTGAGGAAGACTACAGGCCGCTGTTTGAGAATTTTGTGCAGGATCTGCTGTCTACGGTCAACAAACCCGATTGGCCTGCTTCAGAATTACTGCTAAGCCTGCTGGGAAGATTACTGGTATGAACAAGGCATAGCCAATCACGTTATCTGCAACAGAGCATTAACGTCCCTGACCGTGCTAAACATAAAAACACATGCATATGTATGATAGAGATTTAGCCGATTTGTGTTAATTAAAATGAGATAAAATAAATGTTCAAAATGAGTTTAATTCTGAAATTAACAAATTTAAATTAAATAATTATAAATATAATAATGTTTCTTTTTATTTCACAATTTATATATAATTTAAACATGATTTATAGATATAATGTATATGGTTTATTTCGATTACTATTTTATTTTTTATACATTTTTGTACAATTATGTTTGAGTGTATGTATGGATGGGTAGATTGTGAAACTAAAAGCTACCCATATATTCTTAAAAATCTAGTGTCCTTGTTGCATTTTAATTGTACTTACTATAGTAATAAGAGTCATTTAGTTATAATTTTGAGCAACTCTAAACCAAATCCCAAACCTATAGTACGTTAATTAATATTACTCAGTAATTATTCGTATAGTTAAACTGTAATACCATAAAATAAAGTGTTACCAAAATTTGTAAAATGAAAATGATTCAAATATGTAATCAATTAAATGTATTATTTCTCATGTTTTAATATAAATTGTTTATGTGAAACAAGGGTTTAAGCAGACAAAATACAGTTAAGAACCCCTGATATATATATATATATATATAATAAAATGTGTAAGGTTTCTAACATTGTAAAAAGATTGATAATAAAAATGCAGTTTGGATAATAAAAGAAAATACAATAAGTGATTGCAGTGAAACACATAGCGTTGTTCTTTCTTCTTCAATGACCCTTGACCCTTCATACTCTGTCCCCAGGTGCACCAATTCAGTAACAAGCAGACAGAGATGGCACTGCGAGTAGCATCACTGGACTATCTGGGTACTGTAGCAGCCAGATTGAGGAAAGATGCTGTCACCAGCAGGATGGACCAGAAAGCCATCAACCGCATCATCAGAGAGGTACGTGCACATGTATCTACATTTACACATGCATCTCATAAACACTCAATTTTAAATGTGTTTTTACCCAATGCTTTTTCTGTGTGCGTTTAGAGCTCAGAGGGAGACGAGACTCAGCGGCTACAGAAAGCCTTATTGGGTTATATGGATGAAAATGCAGAAACAGACCCTGCCCTCACAGTGAGTCCAGCTCAGATGCTCTTCATGTCCCGTGGTCTTTATATAGAGTTGGGTTCAGCCAATAAGTTTTTCTCTCATCAAGTGTCAAAATCTAAAGTGCATGTAAGGTTGCCTGTGGTTAATGTAACACCTGGAAATAACAGTACCAGTCAAATGTTTAGACATGCAAGACTCAATTTGTTTCTCATTATCCAAAAAACTTTTGCACTAAAGGTTTATGCTTAAAATTATTAGTAAAAGTTGGTGGAGAGAATCCTTTAAATTATATATAGGGGCTTTAAATGTACCTAGAGAATTTAGATTTTGTTTCACATTTCCATTTGTGTTATTTTATAACTTTAATGACACTTAACTTTTAAAATAATGTCCCATTAACTACAGAGAATAGTAATATTAAATGACAAGCTGTCTTCTGTTTGATACTATATGATATATAATTTAATTATTAATTAAATGATTATGCTAATTAATATTATTTATAACAGTAATAATAATAGACATGCACAAAATTAGTTTTAGTCATAGCAGATATCAGTAATAATTGTTGTTGTAATTTATTATTATTAATGATGCTTTTTAATAATAATAATTAATTTTTGAAACATGCACAAAATTAGCATGTTACAAATAGGAGATATCAGTGATAATAATACAAGTGATATTGTTATTAATGCTAATAACATATGGTAGTTAATTATGTAGATGATAATTTTTTATAATGAGACATGCACAACATTAGCGTTTTACTCATTGCAGATATCAACTAATTTGCCCTTTTTTTCTGCTCTTAAACCGTCATGTCAGAATTCCTCAATCTAATTTTGTATTGTAGTTTGCACGCAAATTTTACATCGCTCAGTGGTTCAGAGACTGCACTACGGAGGCTGAGAAGGCCATGAGGAATCAGAATCAAAAGGAGGATGACTCGGAGGGCACGCAGCACGCCAAAGAACTCCAGGCCACCGGAGACATCATGCAGCGTGCAGAAACTCGCAAGAAATTCCTCCACACCGTCATTAAATCAACTCCCAATCAATTTACTACTCTCAGGTATTACCACACAAATATCTCTGCTTTAATGATGTAACATCCTCAGCCTCAGTCAAGACCTCAAGTTATAATGGGTATATTGTGCTATTAATGGCAAATAAATCTTTTGGCAGGATGAATTCAGACACTGTGGACTATGAGGACGCCTGCCTTATCGTACGCTACTTGGCCTCCACCAGGCCCTTCTCTCAGAGCTTTGACATCTACCTGACACAGGTGAGAAGATTGGTCTGAAATGTACACATAATCAGTTTCCATCTGGTATTAAAGTGCCTAACAAATGCTTCATTTTCTATTTTCTTTTAGATTCTGAGAGTGTTAGGGGAGAGCGCCATAGCTGTCAGGACCAAAGCCATGAAGTGTCTGTCTGAGGTGGTGGCTGTTGACCCCAGTATACTGGCCAGGGTAAGAAATGCAGCTGCATTTAAACTGGCAGCACAACACTGTAGGTGCTTCTGGCAGAGTTGATCGTTTAACTGGTATGTTTGTCTGTTATGTAGTCTGATATGCAGCGTGGTGTTCATGGCCGATTGATGGATAACTCCACCAGTGTGAGGGAAGCAGCGGTCGAGCTGCTGGGACGGTTTGTGTTGAGTCGACCTCAGCTGACGGAGCAGTACTATGACATGCTTATCGAGAGGATACTGGTATGACTGCAATTCAGATCACTGTCTGAAGGTTTAAGGAGCAAAATGTAAAGCTTTTATCACTGACATATGGAGCAGTATCTGTATATTTATGTAAATGTACACAAATGAAGAATGCATTAAATTGACATTCATAATCTTTAAAGCTGCAGTCCGTAACTTTTTTTTGGTTAAAAATGATCCGAAATCAATATTTGAGCAAGTACATAACCAGCCAGTGTTCAAAACTATCGCCTTAAATTGAGAAATTGAAATCTACACGCTAATACACACTATACTCATAATTACCAATGCTGATGTTGTTAACATTAATCATTTGAGAATAAAGTATAACAATAATAAGCGACAAAGAGGCAAAACTTACGGACTGCAGCTTTAAAAATTATTTAAATAAATGCTTTTTTTTCTTTCTATTAAACCAAAAAAATCCTGAAAAAATTTCAGCACAACTGTTTTGGATTGGTAATAAGAAATGTTTATTAATCAGCAAATCATCATATTACAATAATTTCTGAAGGATCATGTGACCCTGAAAACTGGAGTAATTATGCTGAAAATTTAGCTTTGCCATCATTGGAATAAATTACATTTTAAAATGTATTACAACAGAACATGATTATTTTAATTTGTAATAATATTTCATAGTATTGCTGTTTTTCGATCAGATAAATGTGAACATAAAACGCTTTTTTGTTATGCATGCAGCTTTTATGACCTCATAACAATTTATAAATATAGGTGATGTTTGTCATTTTAAAAGCTAATTTGACATATTGCAAGACCACTTAAAATGAACTTGTAAAGACAAAAATGTTTTCACACTGACTGCTGTCATTGTAAGACAGTGAGCAGCTCCGTTTGTTTGTCCGAGGGAGCAACAGTAACTAAGGGGGGTGGGGCTTACCGATAGGTCAATTGTGTTTTTTCCTGCTATTTTGAATATTGTACATGTAATCTGTGAGAAGTGTAAAGTGATTTTATGTGCTTTCACTCCAGGACACCGGTATCAGCGTGAGGAAGAGGGTGATCAAGATTCTGAGAGACATCTGTTTAGAACAGCCCAACTTCAGTAAGATCACAGAGATGTGCGTGAAGATGATCCGCAGGGTCAATGACGAGGAGGGCATCAAGGTGCAACCACATTCTCTGTTGTGATAGGTTTTTCCAGTTAGTGCCAAAAGTGCTAACAGTCTTTCTCTCCCTACAGAAACTGGTGAATGAAACATTCCAGAAGCTGTGGTTTACACCCACAGCCAGCCACGACAAAGAAACAATGAATAGGAAGATTCTCAACATCACTGATGTGGTCAGTCCAACTGTTTAAATTGTATGTATGTGTGTGTGTGTGTGTGTGTCTGACCCCAAGTTTGATTCTGCATTTGTATTATTTGGCTCTAATTCAGCTGATTGTGGTTGTAGCTAGGTAACACTTGAGAAGGCGTGTTTTCATACCTTTTGCTTTTACTACCAAAACATAAGACCTTTCAGTGGTGCTTGCATATATCTGCAGCAGATGCATTGCAAGATATGCAGAAAATGTAAGCTTCTCCCTGAAGGCAAGTTCTGCATCAGCAGTGAGAAATGCAATTGCTGCTCTTTTTGCAGGACATGAGTCTTGCTCTCCTGGATCATTTCATATGAAATGCATCCTAACCCTTGTAATTAAGGGAACTTGAGTATGATTCCTTGGTGCGTACAGGAAATAAAGGTGCTGTGTGTAATTTTTTTGACTGCACTAAAGCATAAAAATACCATATTACATTTGCAGATAGTAAGGAAACATGCTAGGTTCACATGTTTCTCTGAAAATCGATGCTACAGCCAGTTATTCTGCTTTGAAATGTGGGTTCCTTGTCAGAATGTCTGTTTTTGTTTTGGTCTGTGTGACTCCGCCCACTGCCTGTTTACCCAATAGTATTTCGACACCCTGGGTTGCCAGTTGCTGGAAAACACAGCATATTGGAGCCATGGAAAGGTCAGAGATCGCAGATTCTGCCTGACCCAAAAAGCCTCTGCATCCAACTAAAAAGCTCTATGGTTATTAAAACAAGAATAAATCAACTCATCAACTTATAGTGTAAGAGTTGCCTTCCATTGTCAATTGTGCTCATTCCTCAATCTGGCAACCCGTGTGAGCTTTGCATCTGAGGAAGTGGGGCAGGAGAAACAACTCTCTCCAGTATTTTGAATTTGGATTGCAGTACCCATTTCAACCGCTAGCCGTCAATATTACATAACTGCACCTTGAATAAAGCAACTTTCACACAAATCGATCAAATCAGACTGATTTGTGTCCATACCTAAAGATCTAGTGTGAAAAAGGCTTTTCTTTTAAATAGTGCATCATCCCCTAGCTGAACTTATTCTTTACTGTACTGCAGGTCGCTGCCTGTAAGGACACTGGCTATGACTGGTTTGAGCAGCTCCTGCAGAATGTAAGTGTTTTCAAGTCAAATCAGTTTCCATCTGCCGGTCTCTAGTTTGGAGGATTGTAGAGCTGTAATTCAAAGTGTTTTCTTTTTTTATAGCTTTTAAAGTCAGAGGAGGACTCATCCTATAAGCCAGCCAGGAAGGCCTGTGTTCAGTTGGTGGACAATCTTGTGGAGTACATCCTCAAATACGAGGAGGCAATTGCAGGTACGCACACGCTACTAGAAATCTGATTTGTTTTAGAAAATCAGTTGATTAATCCTGTAAAGCCTGATGTATGAAATAATAGTCACAAAAAATCTAATTTTATTGAAATGGAGCAGTTTATTGAACCAAAATATTGAAAAAAAGCAAAATATTGAAACTATACAGCAAAATATTGAAAAAAAGTTTGCATATGCACTTTTTCTTGAGTATCATATTTATTTGATATATCAGGCTTTTATGTTTCATGTAGTGCTGTCAAAATTAGCTTGTTATCGCAGGCGATTAATGTTTACAGTTTAACGGCGGTAAAAATATTTAACACCGTTAACGCCGGGGCGGAGCTAGGGTTGGCCACCCCTGTCACTACTGCTGCTTCTGTCTTTATTTCTTGACAAGAGAATAAAATAAAATGCTTTTATTTAGACGCAGAATGTCTTTACGACCACATCAAACAGGAGATTTTTCAGAAGCGCACCTCAGCGCAGGCGCTAGTCAAATGAGCATGGAAATGGTACAGGTGATGAGGGAGCTTCAGTAGAACAACAGTGAACTGCGGTCAAATGAGATGTATGCAGTAAAAACAACTTTTTCTGTCCTGTCAGCTAGGGTTGTGACGGTGAGGAAATTTTCCCACCGGTTAATCGACGTGTGACAACACCGGTAATACCGGTATCACAGCGGGGGCGTTCCCTCTTTTCCTCGCTTTCCTTCGCTTTTAAATGGCTTGTAAAAGCAGCGTGCGCATTTTACTTTCACTTTCAAATACCGGCAATTCGGCATAAAGCAATTGTTCGTTTTTAGTT